CCACTCCATTTTTTCTCCAATACTCAAGATAAGGATTAGAGGGCTCACGACACGTAATCGACTCATTTAAAGTAGACTTCTGATAAATATTGGTGTAATGGGAAGAAACCCTGAAACGTTTTCACATTTCCGCCTGCCATGACCCAAGGGAACGGTCCTGGACCAGGAGAAAGGACACCTCCGCAAAGGGCTAAGGGTGCAGGAGCTCCAGGGTGGATCACCTGTGCAGAAAAGTGGATGGGATGTGGGCAGGTAGTGTGGAATGTAGGACATCCACCGGTCCTTATCAAAAGTACGCTCGAAATGAGTCGTTCACTTATTATCTTATCCGTAGTGTTCGATAGCCCAAAGAACTGCTCTCTAGTACTACGGATAAGATAGCAATGGAGTGGCCCCCCCGAACTGGAGTTTCACCTGCATATAAAGAAAAACAGTACTGCACTTTATTTAATCGCTGATCGCTACACTTTGTTCCAGCACTTATCAACGGCGAAAATTCAATCAGATGTCTCTTAATTTGACCTAAATGAGGAAAGAGCGATACCAGACCTTTTCAAAAACATGAGGGTCTACAGGGAGGAGGATTCGAGACATCTACACATTTCTATCAGCCTCTAGCAATCACCAATTGCTGACAATATTCGCAAAAGATCTCATGGACCTTGAGGGACATTCGAAATACGCCGATGATACGCATAAGCAATTTTCTCCCTCTCTCCCCTCTCCTGGGCTTAGTACTAGGTGACGCTAGGACTAAGCCCAGGAGAGGGGAGAGAGGGAAAAAATTGCTTAAATTCTCCTCCAGAGCCCCTCCCTCTCCCTGAGAGTTAGTCTCGCGTACTGTAAGTACTCACTTGAATCTTCCCCTCTCCCCACTCTCTAACGACATGAGCGCGCTCACAACATATACGCATAGCCTGGATTTGAAGAAGAAGTACTTACTTTGATCACGAAGAATTGCAGGGGGCTACCTTTGATATCATACATGAAATCGCCAAGAAGAACTCTGGAGCTCATGTCGGATTCTGACTTGTAAGCCTGAAAACCATTCTCTACCCTACAATAACAGCGAAACAGTGCAGTGGCAAAAGTTGGAACTAAATCTCACCCAGATTTTGAACGTTTTAGGAGCGCTCGGACGTTCTCCTCCTGGTGCTTGATGCGCACCTGAAGACAGTATAATGTTTAGGTGATTAATGACTTCGACTAAACAAAGATGCAGAAAAATTATACAGCAACACTAACCAATGTGCTCATAACTGACAATTGTGACATTAATCGGATGGGATAGTCCAATTGTAATGTATCCTACAGGTCCTTTGAACGACCAGCATTCTCCAGGGAACAATGTCTTCGAGTTGCGCTACAACAGAGTGTTTTCATGTTCTTTAATCATGAATGAAAGACTGAACGTATTTCATATCAGACTACCTGCATTTCAACGGATCGTTTACATCCGATCAAGCTGTAACACTCACCTGTATTACAGTTCTTGGACCATAACTGGAATACCATAGTGGTATGTTCCAAATCTTCTCCAAACGAGTGTAAGTATCGTAGTTCTCCGAGCAACGAGTAGAAATAATAGAAGCCCCTGATAACAGCAGGCATAAGGACAGAAATATATTTTTAGCCAACACTCACTACGACATTGATTCAAAACAGTAAATAAGGTAATGTCAATAAATTCACTTGTTCCCTTACCTGCACTCTCCAAAGCGAAGTCAAACATGCCCGTCTTGTCGCTATCGTACTCATAAATTGCCGAGCGGATCAGCGACTCCAAATGAGCATAATCAACATCAGTGCGATGCTTCTGAAACACATCAAGCACTTGAAAACACAAAATAACTGAATACTGCAAATGTTAGAAGCCAGCAAAAACAACCAAAAATGTAAACTACACCACCTCAACCTTAAGATTCGAAAGCTTCTGCTCATAAGAGGCGGTCAGCGACTTCAGCTCCTTCTCCAGTTTAATTTTAAGATCCTGGTCCACTTTTGCTCGCACCTAAAATAAACACTCCTCATGTAATAGGTAGTGCTCAGGGGTAGGTATCAATTGTTTTGCCACACACGTAATGCGCCACATCCGCCCTAGTATTTTCAGATTCCAATACGGGAGTTGCTTGTAACGAAGCACTGTATCCCATCCACATGAGTCAAAACATGTAAGACAGGGTATACTTTATTTCCGCGGTGGGACATGTCGCAATTGTGGAATCAGTGATGGTAATTACCAAAAATTCATGAGTACGTTTTTTGATGCGCCTATCTCATGCTACGTGGACTAGTCATCTGCAATTACGACAAGTACGACAGCTGGAAACAGAGTTTATTTGGTGTGGACAACACTTTCAATGCTATCGAGTCGTTTTTACTCTAAACTCACTGCTTCCTCTTCCCCTTCTAGTTCATTTAACTTTAATCGCAAGCTGTCTACTCCTTGCGAAGCGTCTCAGAATCCGACGACTATAACCCACACCTACTTACTACTAAAAACCCCGAAAAAAAAGAAAAATTACAATTGCGCTGATCTTCTCGATCAATTTCGACTCATCAACTGCTGGTGATGGAGACGGAACATAAACTATGTTCGACTGCGCATCCTTTTGATCCTGAACAGTTGTTGTCGTATGCTGTGGTTCGTGTATTACTTCAGTCGCCTTCTGCTATAACATAGTATATGGGATACAAAGTAATGATTAACAAGTATCACTCACTTCTATGACCGCAAGAGGTGAATGTTGAAAAATGCTACCAATGATGAAGAAAATCGACATGATACCACTCCAAATCATACTACACCAGCTTCGTAATCCTCCAGCAATCATTGATGCAAGGTTAGAAAGCGACATTAGACCATGGCTCAAATGCTTCTCGGTGGATGCCAAAACATTGTGAGCGGAAGATTTGAATGACGCAACCTGAAAATCGTTAGCCATGGAGGGCAAAGATGAACATCATCATGAATAAGGTTAGAACCTACAAGCTTCGAATAAAAACAGAAAAGCACACAAAAGTAAGGTAATTACCGATGGCAGCTTGCCGTATGTGTCATGACCGGTGTTAGCAAAGAAATCGATCACGGATGTTGTAACATCGCTCACTAAATAGAAGAACACGTAAAAAAAAACAAAATTTGAAATCACTTTCTATAATACGTGTGAGCAAAACCAGCACCACATTGCAAGAATGCGTACATGCGAGCAATTTAATTTGAGCAACCCTGTCGGAATCGACTATGCTGGTTCAACTGAAACTATTAAAAGTCACTCATTTGTGTTAGACTCACGAGATGTGCGAGGACTGAAGCATCGACTTAGTGGTTTTAAATATACGGTGTACCTTATAGAACAAGGAATACCACTTTGATTATACGCTGATACGCGTGATGTACTGCGTTAGTAGACTGAGTTTTTTTTTTCTGCTTAAGTCTTGCCACTGGCCAATATTTCATCATAAATTGAGTTCAGTGATTTGGCATAGACCTGAAACGTGGATAAAACATTAAAGACAGGTATTTCAAAACCAATCAAACCAATAGATCACCTACCCCGTCGGAATCGACCATGCTGTAGGCGTAGTTGGATACTTGTTCATGTAAGTTCGAAACTGAAAAAGTATCGACATTGATCTTTGTACGAGGAGCTGGTAGAATGCGTCCAGAATAGACGACTTGACCAAATCAAGCAGAACATCATTGGCGCAACGACAGGGAGCTCTGCCCAATCACAAATCTTTCTATTTATGGGTCTTAACTTTTGTAACAATCACCCAATGCAGCGAAACTTAGGGTAGCGAGAGCTCGTAAATACTGGTCGTTGATACGAGTCTCAAGTCAAACAGTCTGAACTTAGAATTAGTGACAGACATACCATCATGTCCAAGAATGATCAGGCGATCATTTGCACCACGGCGCGACAGAAGCATGAGAAGTAGGATGACCAGAGGCAATAACCACCACAACCAACGTCGTCGTCTTAAGCAACAAATATAGCGGGCAATATTTCACAAAAATATGCTATAAATGCCTGTTATCATGAAATGAACGTGCGTGAAAAACTTTCCCAATCGACCATGCAGCACAAAAAGCAATGCATAAGAAAAGGAACAAGAATGCGTGACAGAATTGCGTGGGAGACTAACTTATTGCTGACATGAACACTTCGAACAAAAGGAATTTGAAAGGGAGTCTATGGCATAGGTTGAACTGTACGTAGTGGGTGCTCCACATGATATTATGATAAGGACCCGACCTCGAATATCTGCACCAGCCTATCCTTACGAAATACATGCAAATAACGGTAACGAAAATGGCGGTGAAAAACCTCATCCTCAAAATCAATAGGTTTATACTTTGTCAGTTCTGTCTATAGTGACCAACCAGATCAGCAATGCCGGGAAACTATGAAGTAAAGCAGTTCTCTAATGATTTATCTCATCCGTTGAGAAGATCAAACCAGTTTGTTTACCTGCCAAGCATTCCACCGCCCATACTCTTGCTTGTCTCCCACAACCATCCAAAAGCGGCGGGTACTCTATAAAGATTTGCGTGTAGAAAAGCAATAGTTTGACATTATGTATCCACAAAAACAGAAGATGTAGGCTTAGTAAACACTTGAAGTGCCACAGTACTTCTCAGGAATCAGTAAATTTGCACTTACCTCGAGATCAACCACCGACCAAGATCAGCTACCGCAAAAGCTACAAAAAGGAAGGCACGACAAGGTAAGTAGAGAATGTATGCAGCCAACGATTTCAGATCAGAAGCGAATGAAGATGACGAGCCATCACTAAATCCAAAGTTGAAGCTATGTCGGATGAGTCGCACTGGTCATTTTTTCAATATTCTGTTCGAGATTCATGACTATCTGTGCAATCAAGATTTTTAATGAAAAGCTCACTCATAAAATCTGCGCTCAGTTTCATCCCAGTTCTTGTTTGTGTGTCTCAAACTGTAACGGTTTCCAGAACGAAGTTGCAAAGGAGACATGTAATTGGACTTGGAAGACGAAGCAGAGCCAGGAAAGTAGTACGAGTACCTTAATTACAAATCGTCAGGTGCTAAAAGGATTGGTGTGAAAAAACCACCTACGTATGATTGATCACGTCATATGGTTTCCTGATACATGAACCGACGAGACCGGCACCGTATTGCAAATAATAGACCACCGATGAAGCAGTAGAACCTAACCAAGTTGCAATCCGATGAGCCTAAGAATTCAAATTCACATGATCATTCCACATTAGGCACACGACGATATAACGAACCTTGGACATGTTGCGAGATTGGCCCGTACCATGCCCCATACCGGACGACGCCATGTCGAATCGAACATTTTTACGCATTCTAAAAAAACAACAACAGAAAACTGAGCTCTGCAAGAAATGCAAAACAAAATCTATTCTAACCTCGGAGTGTCATCTTCTGAGTCATCAGCGTGCATATTACGGGAACGCAAATAGTACTGCTTCTGGTGGTAGCGAGGACTGTGGCCTCTTTAATAAATGTTCAATCATTTCAGGAAGTTAAATTATAAAACACCACGATACGAAATATAACATTGCAGAATCAGCTTTTTAATTAAAAACAACACGCTTACTTTAGACACAAAAAAGCGTACACGTAAGGAACATTCGGAGAGTGAACGAAAATCCTAAACTATGCTAATTTTCCCAGTGTTTGGGAATTTAAAGGATTGCGCCGCGCTAAATATTTGTGAACTCACCTCGTCGGTACAGGTCCTTCTTGTTCTTCTTCTTCGTCATCGATGAAATCGCTGTCATATTCCTAAACATGAACAGTATTACAAGAACAAAGCATTGAAGTTTCTTATCAATGTTGTGCAAGTATAAGGTGAAGGTAAATGCACGCAAATCGATTAGGATAGGAAGGAGCCTTCCACTAAGAAAAACTTGAAGAAATGGAAAAAAAATTAAGGAAAAGTAGCGCTCATTAGCCACCAATTACATATTCTGCGCTTTTGTAACCGAGGACCCATTTCCTGCCGCCTCCGCTTTTAACTGAGACACTGTGGACTAACGAGTTTTGAATTTGCGTACACACATAAATTTCAGCTGATTACTATTATTTTCGATATATCGGTGAGAGAGTGGAGAAAGGAGTGAATTGACGCCGCCGACAGACCCTTCCCAAGCACCCAGGAAAAATTTTACACTTGGCTAAACAAAAAATGAATTAGAACAATGAAACCTACTTCCTCGCGCGTATTCTCCTGGAACTTTGAAGAAGACGTGAAGTAGAGCTTAGCTGGTTCATACTTCTGCTTCATAGCGTTTTCCCTGGCGACTTGACGACTTTTCTTCGCCAAAACGGCATGATACATGCGTGACAGAGCGAGATAGAAGGAATGGAATGAGCCAGAGACCAAGTCCACTTAAATAGACAGATGAGGATTTAATACATACAACAAACCAAGCCATAGCTAATACTTTAAGATCTTTACAGGCAGGTGGCACGGTGAATTGTACTCCCCATGAAAATGAATGTAAGCTGTCAAGTTATAGGGCAGTAGACAAAAAACCAGATGGCCTAAACACGCAAAACTGGACCCTATCTTTCCCACTGACTTCGCATCGCGAGTCACATCGGTGCAAAAATGAGCGTTCTATTCCGCCTATCTGCTGAAACGGCCAAACAGCGAGGGGCTAACAGCCAGGGTAGTCAGTAGGTGGGCGGAGAAAGACGAAGACATGTAGTAGGATGCTGCTCAGCCTCCTTTATGGCAGAAATACCCTCGTATTGAACATCCAATTTATGGTGCCACCTGCCTTTGACTTATTTATCTATTCTTGTGGATTGAATATATAAGCGATACGATGAAGAAGAACCGCCTACCTGGAGCACGAACGACTCTTCCCAAAAAGTAGAGGAACTTCCAGATCAACATGGAGATCATTTGAATGGTAGAAGGACTGCCGGCGTATGCACGATTGAGTTTGTAGTCACGCCTCTTGTAGACGCTTCCAGATACCCACTCACCAATATGAGATGCTAAATGGAAATGAGTGATATACTCCTACTAAGCATCCTTCTTGCCTTTGAATCAAATTATCCCACCTTTGTAAACGGTCCAATCCACACAATCGTAAAGCAGCACCCCAAGAGCTTTCACAGGGCGTATAGTAACAGCATGCAACAGCCACAACACCGAAGAAATCAGAAACCACACAGCGTTTGCTCCAGTTTGCCATGTCTTCAAAAACCAATATGATGGGTGATTAACCAGGTGATTTGATAAGTTAATCAGTTGAATCGTTCGTTAATCTTTGGAGGTAAAAATTGCGAAGTCAAAATGATCAGGAAAGGCTCCCCACTTTCTTCACGATTTGGGGCGCGGCCGCGGCGAGCGCGGACGAGTCGATAGTGCCCGCGAACTGTGCGGGTAAATTTGAAAACGCATCACCACCACAGTTCGCGGGCACTATCGACTCGTCCGCGCTCGCCGCGGCCGCGCCCCAAATCGTGAAGAAAGTGGGGAACCGGAAAGTAAATAGTTCATAGGCCAGTAGCTCAACAAATGCTCACAACTGCTCAATCTTTTGCGCTGTACAAGTAAAAAAAAAACAAGTGCGAAAGTCAGAATGAAAAGTAAACGTCGGAACATTATTTTGAGTGCAATCAATACAGAATGGGTACCATTCGACTATCACAATCTCATAAATTTTTAAGCCAGAGCTCGTTTATAAAAACGTTGTTCACAATAGTAATTAGGTGTCTGAACGAATGTGACATTCATTTCTAACGTTTGCACCATTCTTAAGCAATTTGCTCAACATGCCTACCGATAACACATAGTCCGTGCCAAGGCCTAAAGGGTACTCCAACATGGGTAAGAACGCGCCATATGACAAAAGTTGTATTATACTAGATTACAGGGTGGGTGACATTACCCCTGAGCCCCTTCCGCCCTCGGTTTAATCCGAGGCGCTATTTTGTCGATGGAAAAGCGCAAATGAGCAGAAAATGAGTGTTAAATGCCAAAAGCGCAATATAGCACCATGTTATTAGAACATTTGTTATGGGGAAACGGAATTACCTCTGCACGTAAACTTATAGGGAAGTCCTTTCACTAAATCAAAGCTCTGGAGAGAAAATGAGGTTCTTTGTTCTGTCTTATGAGTGGATGAAGAGGGTCTTTAGGCACTATTCAACTATTACAACCCCAAAATCTCAAAATTTTATTTTTCGTCGAAACTTCGCCATAGGGGTTTCGATGCCCTGATTACGAAAATGACATTCATTTTTGACGTTGGCGCCATTTGGCGCCAATTGGCGCCAGGGCTATTTTCACCAAATTCGCTGTAAACTTGTATACAGGGGTTATTTGGGGTCCTGATCACGAATATAACATTCATTTTTCCGCTAGCGCCAGTGGGCGCCTGTTTTCCGCTCGTCTGCGCCCTCTCACTGATCAGCTCGCGATCGGGACTAAGCCTTTGAGGAGGGGAGTGCTCCGAAGTGAATAACACTTATCCTGTGATCTTATACGCTTTAACGTTTGCCACATGTTGACTGGTTCACCCACCCCGGAGTCCTCCCTCCTTCTAGGCTCAGTCCTAGGTATTATGTACAAGTGAGAGGACCCAGGAAATGGAAAATGTGCGTTGAACGGTGGAAATGCTAAAAACGAATGACATATCCGTAATCAGGACCCCAAATAACCCCTGTATACAAGTTTACAGCGAATTTGGTGAAAATAGCCCTGGCGCCAAACTGGCGCCAATTGGCGCCAGATGGCGCCAACGCCGAAAATGAGTTCCACTTTCGTAATCAGGGCATCGAATAACCCCTATGGGCGAAGTTTCGAGGAAATTCAAAAATTTTGAGATTTTGGGGTTGTAATAGTTGAATAGCGCCGGTCTTCATTTCCCTTCACTTTAATAATGCTACCTTCTATTGCTAAAAAGAGCAGGGAAACTATTATCCGATGAGCCTCTGATTTTATGGCAGTTTAGAGCCAACAATACAGCACAAGCGCGCTGAATGACTATTGGAAATATGTAAAAATGACTAGGCATAGAGGAACAGAATTTACCTTGCGCAGCAAACTCGGAGCGGAGAAGTGAGATGGATCGTATTCAGGACTTGCGATACTGAGGAGATTGTTGTTGATCATATTCGGTACTTCCCATGCAGGAGGCATATCAGGATTATAGGCTTGACTGAAAAGAGAAAACGGAAACATCAATGATAAACCAAAACAAGAAGTGAAGACAAGAAAGATACCTGAATGCGTAAGTGTATCTAGTCGAATAATTCCTGGAAAAGGAGAACCTTTCATTGACTGAATTCACAAATAGAATCAATAAAATATCTGTATTTTGACTTACAAGAAAGGACTAGTAAGTTGGTCAGCTTCTTCAGCAGTAAGGCGAGGTGAGTCAAGTGCTCGGATTGGAGGCCGATCAAATGAAGGGCGGCGACGATACATCTCTTCCAGCGACGGTAAATTCGCCGCTGAAGACATGGCTCAATCTTAGCACTAAAACAAAATGCTTAGACGAGTTAGGAAATTGCATGAGCTAAAATGAGGAAATTCGCGACACACAACATAATTCGGCTACCACAGAGAGCCACTTCAGTGTAATAAAGCGACAATTAAAAAAATCTACCCTCGCCTTCAAATGACCAGAAATTGTGCAATTGCAGAAATTGACGTGGCATTAACGTGGCATCGATTCAAGAACATCTTTGAGCACACGTGATGTCACCTTTTCATCGAGAATTTAGCCACCACGTGGCACACGTGGCTAAATTCTCGATGAAAAGGTGACATCACGTGTGCTCAAAGATGTTCTTGAATCGATGCCACGTTAATGCCACGTCAATTTCTGCAATTGCACAATTTCTGGTCATTTGAAGGCGAGGGTACGACAATGTCGCAAAATATGGCAACAAGCGCGCTGCTAAGAAAAATCGCATAAATAATGTTGTGCTTTAGGCAGGAACCCACATGAGATCATTATAAATAAATTCATTGTCAGTTCTTTTTTTCTTCTAGATACCTACAGGTCGACAAGCATCATATTTGAATTATGTTCAATGGCTGAAAGCGGCAATGATTTCGAAAGTGCAGCCAATTGAGGCCATCGGGCGAACACATCTGATGGGCAGGAACTTCGCAGGTTTGTGTAATTTGTTCTCCCATTATGTAAATAGACAATAGATTGACGCAGTAGTAATAGTAGCAGGAAAGTAACTCGTCATAGATTGACGCAGTAGTAATAGTAGCAGGAAAAGTACTCGTCATTGTCGTTAAAGCTTGCCATTCTCTCTGGTCAACAAACGGACTCACAATAAAAAACGCCAAGAACGTCTATGCAATAAGAGAAGACAAATGCCTGCGATTTTGATAGGTGCACTCAAAACTCGCAAATGGCCACTACCTTGCCAGTGACAACGATTTCTGAACTTCCAAGAAGGCTTTCAAACGCTGCATCTCGCAAAGTCAAGAATACACTATCAACTGCATAACTGAGAGCTCACCAAACAGAAAATAATGCGCAAGCGTAATTAGAGAGGCATCGCAGAGCAACATTCATTCCACAAAGTAACCTCGTTTTTTACAGTGAAGCTACAGAGTGGGTTAATAAGTTTATTTGTGCAAGAGGGGAACTAAGTGAGCATAAATATAAGGATGCTTGTCATGATTTTTTAATGCCTTGCTGCTCTGATTCGCGATGCTACCTTCCCCCTATCCCCAGGTCCAGCGTCATTAAATCTAATTCAAAATTTTTTGGACCCCTTTTTGAGGTCATTTGGCAGATTGAGTGTGGAGTCAGTACGTATTGATCGTGCGATCGCAAAAAAATCGAACTGCAATGTATGACACCACTTTTGGGATGGTCTCGATCAGGGAAAACCTGCGTTCGCACTTTTCGGGGTCGCAGGTCGCATTTTTGGTTTTGGGAAGGGGGGGGGGAAGTCGCATTTAGGGGTTGAGTGGGATGGAAGTGGCGCTAGTTTGGTGGGGGGTAGAATAGGTGGGAGCAGAAAAAAAATTGTCGTTTCAGCACTAACATCCCCTCACTGGACGGTCGTTTTGAAGGAAATATGGAAAGAGTCCACTGATCTCAGAATCAAATATCATAGAAACAGCCATGATGGCGAGGTGGTGGTCGGGGATGGTGGTCGTATTGGGGAGCCTCCTGAGTCTCTGATGGTGGGAGGTCGCATCGAGACACAGCTAAAAGAGGGGGGCTCGCGAATTTGTGGAAAAAGTGCGAACATCACGGTTGACCCTGGTCTCGATAACCCTCCACCACCGTCACCAGCCTCAGAAGCACCCCGTACGACTCCCACACAGGGTCAACCGTCACGTTCGAACATTTTCGGGACTTTTGCGACCCCCCCCCCTCTCGAGAGGGTCCAGTTGCGA